TTCACCAAGTGAGACTGGGCTACCTCATGTTGCTTTCTCTAAGAAGTACCATTGCAGGAGTTTGTAACACAATTTGCTGGCTTCTTTTCAGACAGAGAAAATGCCAGGTCTGGTGAGAGAAGCCCTTGAAGGTGGTAAGGACTTTTGTTAAACACCATGAGGAACTGAGATGGAGTTATCATTTAGGGCAGAAGAGCAGAGAGGATTCTTCGTTACCAGAGCAATTGCAGTTGTCATCTCCAGGTAATTCTAGAGGTGTAATTAGTCTTCAGATGCTCTGCTCATTTATTATAAGACTTCTCTCTTATAAAAACAAATAGTGTTCAAAGAGTTTGGTAAAAAGCTGAGAACATAAAGTTGTCGGTCATATTTTTCAGGAAGTCTAATACATCATATTTAACATTTTAAATTGCTTTTTAAAATTACTTCCAGATCTATTTTTGACCATATTTCAATCAAGATTAAGGGCTTGCAGACAGTTTCCCTTGTGGATTACAAAGTCCCAAATGAGAAGGCTCTACAAACTGATGTAATAATGTAACCTCAACACTCCAAAAACAAGGAGACGAGGCCTAGAGAGATGAAGTAACTTGCCCAAGGTCACTCAGCAGCTCAACATTAGGGCCAGCAAAAGATCTGAGTTTTCTTCTTCTCCCAGAACAGTGTATTTGTTCCATCACACCAAAGAGTCTCAGTTTCTCAACCGAAACAGACCACTGCCCCTTCATTCTCCTGGTGATATTCGCAGGTAATATGATGTTCCTATGCAAATAAATTTCAATCACTTGGCATAATGTCCTGATTGTCTCAGAAAGAAGAAATAAAACAAGGCCATGTACTTAACCAGGAAGGTCCTGCATCACAGACTGCTCCCTACCCTGTGAATATCTGGCCATGAGTAGGACAGGTCTCGCCCTCTGAGGCTCCCAAACCCACTACACCTGCCCTAAACTCACCTCTCCAGGGGGTAAGCAGAGTTCAGAGGATTGTGTGTGTTTCCAGTATTTCCCTGCTTAAAAGTTTCTTTCACGTCAGGCACAGTGGCTCATGCCTGTAATCCCAGCACTTTGGGAGGCAGAGGCAGGCGGATCACTTGAGGTCAGGAGTTTGAGACCACCTTGGCCAATATGGCGAAACCCTGTCTCTACTAAAAATACAAAAATTAGCTGGATGTGATGGCTTGCGCCTGTAGTCCCAGCTACTTGGGAGGCTGAGGCAGGAGAATCGCTTGAACCCAGGAGGCGGAGTTTTCAGTGAGCCAAGGTTGTGCCACTGTACTCCAGCTTGGGCAACAAAAGCAAAACTCCGTCTCAGACAAAAAAAAAGTTTCTTTCAATAAGCCCTGTGCATTTTTACCATGGGGTGCTGGCAACGAATGCCTCCTCTGCGCGACACTGCTCTGACACTCCCCAAAGGGCAGTGTCACTTCTTGGAAGAGTGCAGGGCACTATACCTGCAGCTATATTTTTCTCCTAAAACTGGATCGGTCTCTAAATGCATAATTATTAGGACCAGGTTTACCATCCCAATGAATTGACTTCTGCATTCTGAGCTCAGGATTAACATCCACCCATTTCAGTGTGACCACATCTTATCTCCAACTTTCATTTTCTCCTGGGTAAGTACTGCAGCTCCTGGTTCTTTATATACTATACAAATATTTTACTGGTTGGGCATGGTGGCTCACGCCTGTAATCCCAACGCTTTGGGAAGCCAAGGCAGGCAGATCACCTGAAGTCAGGAGTTCGAGACCAGCCTGGCCAACATGGTGAAACCCTGTCTCTACTAAAAATACAAAAATCAGCCAGGTGTGGTTGCGGGCACCTATAATCCCAGCTACTCTGGAGGCTGAGGCAGGAGAACAGCTTGAACACAGGAGACGGCGGTTGCAGTGAGCTGAGATAGTGCCACTGCACTCCAGCCTGGGCGACTGAGCAAGACTCCATCTCAAAAAAAAAAAAAAAAAAAAAAAATTAAAAAAAAAATATATTTCCTCCATAAACTACACTTGGAGATAAAACAATGAGCTCGTGGTCTCATAAATGTGCCAACTCTGTAACGTAATTCAAATGATTGGGCAGACCAAAATATACTATTCTCACCACTCTTCCTCCTGAATCATTTTAAAAGAATATACTCATCTTACACTCAGACCCCTCTTGAAGGCCCATGTGGATTCTGTTTATCATGCCAACCCGGTTTTGTTTTTGTTTTGTTTTGAGACAGAGTCTCTCTCTTGTTGCCCAGGCTGGAGTACAGTGGTGCAACCTCGGCTCACCAAAACCTCCGCCTCCTGGGTTCAAGTGATTCTCCTGCCTCAGCCTCCTGAGTAGCTGGGATTACAGGCACCTGCCACCTCGCCCAGCTAATTTTTGTATTTTTAGTAGAGACAGGGTTTCACTATGTTGGCCAGACTGATCTTGAACTCCTGACCTCAGGCGATCCACCCGCCTCGGCCTCCCAAAGTGCTGGGATTACAAGCGTGAGCCACCGCACCCTGCACCAGTTTTTATCATTTGTTCTCCATAGCGTCACCTCTGGTTGGCATCACAGCACAGAGAAGCAGGCCACTCTCTGGGACCAGGTTGAATGTCTCCAAGGAACAAATGCTGCTACTGCAAGGGTGTGTCTTAAGACAACCATAAATTTTTATTCTGGGGACTTGTTCAGGCATTTAAAATAATTATTAAAATTTTTTAAACTTTAATTTTTTTGCTTTATATAATTTCCAACCTTTATAGGACAATTAATTGCTGCACACATTCTGCTTCTTTCAGGTGCTGGGGACTCCTTGGCAGCACACGTTTTCCATCCCTTCACCACCAAGACATTTTCATGTGCAGATGTTCCAATGACAACACTCCCGTTAGTTTCTACTAGTGGGGGACCAAACCTCTTGCTTGAGTCAGACTTAGAAATAAGCAACTGTATAAGCTGAGAACTGACAAGACGGAAATTTTTGTCCACTAAGGATTCATCTTGAGCAAAGTTACTTGTCTTACACGAAGAGGGTTGATGCTAGGTGCAGTGGCCCACACCTGTAATCCCAGCACTCTGGGAGGCTGAGGCTGGTAGATTGCATGAGCCCAGGAGTTCAAGGCCAGCCTAGGAAACACAGCGAGACTCCTATCACTACAAAAAATACAAAAATTAGCCAGGCACCATGGTGCACACTCATAGTAGTCCCAGCTACTGGGAGGCTAAGGTGGGAGGATCACCTGAGCCTGGGAGGTTGAGGCTGCAGTGATCCATGATTGCACCACTGTACTCCAGCTTGGGCGACAGAGTACGACTGTGTCTCAAAAAAAAAAAAAAAAAAAAGAAAAAGAAAAAAGAAAAAAGAAAAGAAAAAAGAAAAAGTTGTTTTATGAAGCTTTGTGAATCTCCTGATAGGCCTTAGTACAATTAAACACAATGAAGATAATTGCTTTCTACTTACACGGGACCTGGGGATTGTTTCCCGTTTACTACACCATTTCTTCTTCCTGGGTGCACAAGAAGACTCCATTTCCCAGCAGCCCTTGGGCTAGGGTGGGATCATGTGACTGAGTTCTTGCCAATGGATGTGAGTGGAAGTGATGGCTGCTATCAGTTCAGCATGTTAGAGCAGGTGTGAGCTCTTCACACTCCTGCTCTCTCATCAGGGGCTGTTAGCAAAGAACTTCCAGATGGCAGATCTGTGAGAGGGAAGCAGACTGGATCCCTGAGTTGCTGCTGGAGAGCCACCTGGCCTCTGGACTCAAGGGAGTCACTTTTTGTGTTTGCCCTCTGAGCTTCAGGGGGTTACTTGTGCCCTTGTTCCACCCTGATTAACAGAACACACTTCTGCAATACTACATTCTCAGAGGGGTGAAGGGACCTTAGACGTCTGAGCCCTGCACTGTGTCCCCAGAGACCTCATTCTGGTCTGCGTCAATCTATTAATGAACAATCAAGGAGTATAATCATTCTTGGAAGCATCTTATTAACATGGGAGATTAGGATACGTTTCTCATGAAGTTAAGAGCTCTCCTTTGAAACTCAATCAGTAAGTAGTTACCCAGTTCCCCTCTTGCCAGCTCACAGTGTCCATTTCAGACCCGAAAAGGAATTCAAGGTGTCAGAGGCATTCGAACTACAGCAACTACATCTTGAACAGGAGCTGGGTAAAATAAGGCTGAGACCTACTGGGCTGCATTCCCGGGAGGTTAAGGCATCCTTAGTTACAAGATGAGATAGGAGGTTGGCACAAGATACAGGTTACAAAGACCTTCCTGATAAAATAGCATGTAGTAAAGAAGCCAGCCGAATCCCACCAAAACCAAGATGGCGACGAAAATGATTTCTGGTCATCCTCATGGCTCATTATACACTAATTTTTGTGCATTAGCATGCTAAGAGGCCCTCCCACCAGCGCCATGACAGTTTACAAATGCCATGGCAATGTTAGGAAGTTACTCTATATGGTCTAAAAAGGGGAGGAACCCTCAGTCCCAGGAAATGCCCACCTCTTTCCCGGAAAACTCATGAATAACCCACCCCTTGTTTAGCATATAATCAAGAAGTAACAGTAAGTACAAGTAGCTGAGCAGTCCTCGAGTAGCCGTTCTTTATTCCTTTACTTTCCAAATAAACTTGCTTTCACTTTACTGTATGGACTCACCCCGAATTCTTTTTCGTGTGATATCCAAGAACCTTCTCTTGCGGTCTAGATTAGGACCCTTTTCCGGTAACAAAGGGAAGAGAATCAGAGCACCACCTTCCTCCGAGTCATGATCACGAGAAGAGCTTGCTTTCTATCATAACTGATATTTTTTTTATTATGGTGTGAATAATTGGCCATTATTCATCACAAAGCTCCCCAAAAGCATGAGGCTCGCTGCAGAGAATGCCCAGCCCTTCTCCAAATGCACTAATCAGAGACCTGATGGGCCTGTGGGGCCACCATGAGGCCCCTCCCAAAATACCCACCGCTGCCTTCCTTGAGGAGCCGCAGGGTTGCTGTAGATCTGTTCTCTACAAGACTCTGAAACCGGTGAAAAGAACACTTATCAAAATAATTCCAAAAGCACTTTAAACCTTTGATTAAGAAGACAAGTGATTTTCTATATTCCCATGATAACTATTTCAATATTATTATATGTAATATATTATTTCAATATAGCTGATCAGAGGCCTTGCACTGATGTTAAATGACAACACAGAGACACATGAGTGTGATGGGGGGCACCTCTAATCCCAGCTACTTGGGAGGCTGAGGCAGGAGAAATGCTTGAACCCAGGAGGCAGAGGTTGCAGTGAGCCGAGACAGTGCCACTGCCTGGGCGACAAGAGTGGGACTCCATCTCAAAAATAAAAAAAAAGTTCCCAGAAGCAGGACCATGCAGGGCAGGTGCCAGGGTGTTCGTGGAAGGGGCTGTCGGGGGAGAATCTTCCTGTATCCTGTGGCACCGGGGTGCCCAGCAGTCTCTGCTCTCTGCCCAGCATCCAAGGCCTGTGGCCTTAAACTCATTTTGGAGAGGCTTCCCACCAGCAGCTGAGCCTGACCGTACTTGGGTGGAATCCCCACCTCTGAATTCTGTCTCCTTTTCAGAAAGTGACAGTTTTGTACAGTTTTGCCTTTTTGTAAAGTGTAGGCAATTATAATGGCGATACCGGCATACACAGTTTGAGTGGCCCCTCTCTCCTTCTCTCCCAAGCTCCATGATGAACATTTCTAGGCCCTTTGTGGGCCTCCTCACCACTCTCCATGGAGGAGGGCAAGCTGGGGTTCGTCTTGCCAGGCTCAGCTCAGTTCCCCTCCCTGGGGTCTGCCCTGGCTTTGCTCTCCTCAGGTGCCTGCCCACAGCTCAGTGATTCAGCCTCCCAGAACAGAAGACCTCCCAGAAGAGGTCTTCCTTCCCCTCTCGGCCTTCCTAGGTAGACCATGGGCTCCTGGGACATAAGGAGTGAATCTTGTGTACGTTGGTGTCTCTGGAACCCAGAACAGAGTTAGATGCAGAGTCGAACAAATAGCCTTGAACCGACCTAGTGCTTTTATTTTTTTTGTCCAAGATTCCTTGCTCCAAGAAGCTGTTGTAAGTAAGGAGCCAGGCTCCCTCTGTCCCACCGTGCCCTGGCTAACTCACGGAATTCGTCTCTCCGTCATCACTGGTTTGTGACCTGGGTGTTGGTCAAATCCATCCCGTCTGCCCTAACAGCGGTCTCCACACTCCGTGCAAAGATAAGGTTCTCATACAAGGTCTTTCTAGAAGGGGACAGTGCTGGGAAACATTTGCTTCCGAGGTAGCCTGTTAGGAGGGAAGTTAAGGAAACCGAATATGACAGAATGAAAGCTGACCTGCCTCTGGGAATGCTGATTTCTTGCACTTCATGCCTTCCCACTTGATAGGGTTGGTCCCTGAAGGAGGCACTAGCAAGCACTGCTGGGATAAGGCTTCATCTTCGAGTGGTCAGAATCCCAGCACAGCGCCAAGAGAACACAGCCCCAGCTCCCCCACTTTTTATAAACAAACTTGTAAACGGCCCTCATCTTCAGGGTGATGCTGCCAGCCCAAACCAGACTTTCCGACTCACTTCGAAACCACGTCGCTGCCAACTTTCCAGCTTAAAAAGAGGGAAACTTCATAAAAGGCTCCATTTCCATTTGGCCTGTGGGGGAGGATGGAATACATGGTGAGTCGGAAGCTATGAACAAAACAAGTTTATAAAAATTCCAAATAAAGACGCGCCTCCAGTGAAATTAGCCAGACGAAAGTTGACAAAGCTGACGGTCCCGCGTGGGCTGCGGTAATGGGGCGACGTGGGAGGAGGGCTCTGCTGAGACGGCAGGAGAAACGTGGGGAGACACACGCGGGAGGGGACAGCTCTCAGCGCCATCAAAGAACAGATCCTCCAAGCGAATGATTTAAGGATTTAAATAAGAGAGTCAAGTATTTGTTTTGTTTTGTTTTTTGAGACAGGGTCTCACTCTGTGGCCCAGGCTGGAGCACAGTGGTGCGATCATGACTCACTGCAGCCTTGACCCCCTGGACTCAAGCAATCCTCCTGCCTCGACCTCCTGAGTAGTTAGCTCTACAGGCAGGTGCCATCATGCCCAGCTAATTTTTGTATTTTTTGTGGAGATGAGGTCTGGAAATGTTGCCCAGGCTGGACTCAAACTCCTGGCTTCAAGCGATCCTCCCACCTTAGCCTCCCAATGTTGGGATTACAGGCATGAGCCACTATGCCCGACCAAGAGTCAAACATTTTAAGTGCTAGACAGGACCTCAGCACGTCATCTTCTCCACTACCCTGCCTCCCAGAAACTCAGAACAATGGCAAGAAAGTAGATGCAAAGGAATCATTTCTATTTTTATTTCTATGTTATCTTGTATATTATTAGAATTGTGGTCTTTTTTCTAAAGTTCTGTCAAAAGAAAAAAAAAACCTTCTGAGTTCATTACATAATGTTTAGAGAATATGGTATGTATGATATCAATTTCATGAAATTTACTGAGATTTCTTTACAGCCTAAAAATAGAGTCAATTTTTAGGAACGTTCTTTGTATGCTGGAAAAGAATGTGTAGTCTCCACTACCCAAGCTCCAAATCCTGGCCGCATGAAGAAGGTGTGGACCAGGGAGACTGGAGTCGGGAGTGGGGGATGGGAGAGGCCTCACTGGCTAACGCTGGTGGAGACTCTGGAGGGTGGGGGTGCCCGGAATGAAGGTGCGGCTGATGCAGGAGTACAAAGTAGGCCTGTGTGAGTGGCACCTCCCAGCACACGTGCATTTCATTACCTTTCTTATTTTAAGTGTTGAGGACTTCCAACTTCTTGTAATAAGTGTGTGAAACTTCTCTTCCAAGTTCCATCCCAAAGGAGGCACAGAGTCAGGAAGACGGCAATGTCAACATCAGGTTTAGTTGTGATCAAGTGAATTGGAGAACATACCTCAGATGTGTGGCCAAATAAGTTGCCTCCCAGGTTAGCAGCGTCCCCCAGCCCCAGGCAGGGTCAGACATCCAAAGCCCAATTAGGAGTAAGTCCAGGGTCTCCTGATTCAAAGTAAGAGGTAGAGGCCAGGAGTGGTGGGTCACACCTATAATCCCAGCACTGTGGGAGGCTGAAGCGGGCGGATCACCTGAGGTCAGCAGTTGGAGACCAGCCTGGCCAACATGGCGAAACCCCATCTCTGCTAAAAATACAAAAATCAGCCTGCCATGGTGGTTCACACCTGTAATTCCAGCTACTTGGGAGGCTGAAACAGGAGAATTGCTTGAACCTGGGAAGCAGAGGTTGCAGTGAGCCGAGATCATGCCATTGCACTCCAGCCTGGGTGACAGAGCGTGACGCTGTCTCAAAAAAAAAAAAAAAAAAAAAAAAAAAAAACTGGCCTGCCATGGTGGTTCACACCTAACTGCTACTTGAGGCGGAACAGGAGAATTGCTTGAACCTGGAAGCAGAGGTTGCAGTGAGCGAGATCATGCGCTTGCACTCCAGCCTGGGAGGAGCGGACGCCACCCCAAAAAAATAAAACCTGGCTCAGTGGCCTGCCTGTAATCCCAGTACTTTGGGAGGCTGAGGAGGATTGCCAGGAGGATGGAGACGAGATTGGCACACTGTGAGACCGAGACGGCTTAAAAGAAATAGGGAGGGAGAAAGTGAGCCTGACATGAGGTTGAGGTGGTGGTGGCACCATGGTAAAAAAAAAAAAAAAAACAAAAAAAAAAACCCGGGCTCAGTGGCTCAAGCCTGTAATCCCAGCACTTTGGGAGGCCGAGTGGGGAGGATCACAAGGTCAGGAGATGGAGACCATACTGGTTAACACCGTGAAACCCATATCTACTAAAAATAGAAAAAATTAGCCAGGCATGGTGGCATGTGCCTGTAGTCCCATCTACTCGGGAGGCTGAGGCAGGAAAATTGGTTGAACCCAGGAGGCAGAGGTTGCAGTGAGCTGAGATTGCGTCACTGTACTCCAGCCTGGGCAACAGAGCAAGACTCCATCTCATAAAACAAACAAAAAAAAGCCCCCCCCAATCGCCACACACCCCATATACTTATTGCTTATTGTGCATCCTTTCCAAGCACATAAAACACATATAGAACATTTATAAAAACTGACCAAGTATTAGGCCATGAAGAATCTCAGTGATTGCTTTTGCAGCTTGGATTCTAAAATTGGAATGACACAGAGATGATTAGCCTGGCTGCTGTGCAAGGATGACCAGCAGGTTCATGAAACATTCCATACCTTGCACAGTCCCAGATCATTTAATTATCCACTGACGAGTGCTAAAGAAACAGTGTGAGTCAAAGCAAAATGGGTGGCATCCAATATTGAAATTGTGATTTTCAGGCCGGGTGCAGTGGCTCACACCTGTAATCCCAACACTTTGAGAGGCCGAGGTGGGTGGATCATGAGGTCGGGAGATTGAGACCATCCTGCCTAACACAGTGAAACCCCGTCTCTACTAAAAATGCAAAAAAAAATAATAATAATAAATTAGCCTGGTGTGGTGGCAGGAGCCTGTAGTCCCAGCTGCTCGGGAGGCTGAGGCAGGAGAATGGCCTGAATCTGGGAGGTGGAGGTTGCAGTGAACCGAGATTGCACCACTGCACTGCAGCCTGGGCGACAGAGCAAGACTCCATCTCAAAAAAAAAAAAAAAAGGAATTGTGATTTTCGCTACAAAAAAATCTCAGTAAATTGCATGGAATTGATAAAACATACATTTTATACTCTGCACACAGTGTAATGAATGTAGAATCTATTTTTCATGCAGATTTTTAAAATTTCCATAATCGTAAAAATATACAAGAAGAAATCTAAAATGTATTGACTGTCTAAAATTGAGTAACAAAAACATCTGAAAGCTTTTTGCAGCTAAGGTGCTACTTTTAGGTAAAGTGTACTGTTTTAAATGTATATATTACAAGGAAAGAATTGTTGAAAGTCTAATAAGAGAGATAATTCTCTTGCAAAAGTTATGAAGAGAAAAAGAGAAGGCATTAATAACGACATTAAGAATCAGGCCGGATGCTGGGTGTGGTGGCTCACGCCTGTAATCCCAGCACTTTCAGAGGCTGAGGCAGGTGGATCATGATGTCAGAAGTTCAAGACCATCCTGGTCAAAATGGTGAAACCCCGTCTCTATTAAAAATACAAAAATTAGCCAGGCGTGGTGGCAGGCACCTGTAATGCCAGCTACTCGGGAGGCTGAGGCAGAAGAATTGCTTGAACCTGGGCAGCAGAGGCTGCAGTGAGCCAAGATCGCATCACTGCACTCTAGCCTGGGCGACAGAGTGAGACTCTGTCTCAAAAAAAAAAAAAAAAAAACCAAAAAAAAAAAAAGAATCAGGCCAGTCACAATGGCTCACACCTGTAATCCCAGTAATCCCAGCATTTAGGGAGACTGAGGAAGGCGAATCACTTGAGGTCAGGAGTTCGAGACCAGCCAGGCCAACATGCAGAAACCCCATCTCTACTAAAAAACACAAAAATTAGCCAGTCGTGGTGGCCCACACCTGTGATCCTAGCTACTCGAGAGGCTGAGGCATGAGAATTGCTTGAACCTGAGACGCGGAGGTTGCAGTGAGCCGAGATCACGCCATTGCACTCCAGCCTTGGCGACAGAGCAAGACCCTGTCTCAAAAAAGAAAAAAGAATCAAAGGGCTCATAGGTGCATGTAAAAACACTAAAAATCAGCCTGGCGCAGAGGCTCACACCTGTAATCCCAGCACTTTGGGAGGCCAAGATGGGCAAATCACAAGGTCAGGAGTTCGAGACCAGCCTGGTCAGTATGATGAAACCCCCCATCTCTACTAAAAATACAAAAAATTAGCCAGGCATTATGGTGGGCGCCTGTAGTCCCAGCTACTCAGGAGGTTGAGGCAGGAGAATCACTTGAACCCAGGAGGCAGAGGTTGCAGTGAGCCAAGATCACACCACTGCACTCCAGCGTGGGCGACAGAGTGAGACTGTCACACACACAAAAAAGAACCTTGATACTGAAACCAGGCAAATATTATATTATAAAAAAGTAGTATAGGTTAGTCCCATATGTCAGTGAATAAGCCAAAACCATAAAATACTAGAAAACTGATATAATAGTGTATTGAAAATATCCAAGGAATACACAGATTTTTTTCCCAAAATTTTAAATTTAGGTGTAAGTCACATAATACAAAACTCACCCTTTCTTTTTTTGAGACAAAGTCTCGCTCTGTCGCCCAGGGTGGAGTGCAGTGGCATGATCTCAGCTCACTGCAACCTCTGCCCCCTGGGTTCAAGTGATTCTCCTGCCTCAGCCTCCCAAAGTAGCTGGGATTACAGGCACCTGCCACCATGCCTGGCTAATCTTTGTATTTTTAGTAGAGATGGGGTTTCACCATTTTGGCCAGGCTGGTCTTTAACTCCTGACCTTGTGATCCACCTGCCTCGGCCTCCCAAAGTGCTGGGATTACAGACATGAGCCACCACACCTGGCCAAAACTCAACCTTTTAACAACTGGGCACGGTGGCTCATGCCTGTAATCCCAGCACTTTGGGAGGCCAAAGCAGGCAGATCACTTGAGGCCATGAGTTCGAGACCCGGGCAGATCACTTGAGGCCATGAGTTCAAGACCCACGTGGCGAACATGGTGAAACCCCATCTCTAACTAATACT